CCCCAAAACCCCAAAACCCCAAAACCCCAAGTTCTTTCATTAATCTAGAGAGAGTTAATTAGAATTAGGGAATAAAAATAAAAGCAAAATAATTTCTAAAGTATTGATTGGATAATTGAAGCAATTCTAATATGAAATCAAACATTGAGATTCCTTTCTAAACTGTATAGATCTCCAGCTTCACCTCTCAAAATAATTCAATAAAGAATTTATCAGACAATTAGATAACACACATTTTAGACTTAAAAGACTCTAATATATCTTCAGAGCAACAAAGCAATAAAGATGCCACATAATGTGAAGTAATTCTTGATTTACCTGTGAAAACAAACGGATTTATCTGGCCTTATCATCCATTTTAAGTGCTCTCCTGGGTTGTATATACCTACAACATGATACATTTTTATCTTGTATCAATACCTATTTTCACAAATAACTTAGTACAAGTCATCATTCTTGCAGTAGTATACCTCATTTTGGGAGTAACAGTGTTCTACATGACTTATATTACCACTAAAATAGATCCTACTGACAGAACAGTATACTTAGAGAGAGCTTCTCGATAGCCAAACCCTGATTCAGAGGCTTTGAAATTTAATCCTTAACAATATTCCTATCATTGCAGTATATGCAAGACGCATGTATTAGAGTTTTCAAAGCATTGCTAAGCTTGCAATAGATGTGTTGAGAATTTTGATCATCATTGTAAGTGGCTAAATAATTGCATTGGTGAAATCAACTACAACTAATTTTTCAATATGTTAGTTGCTGTGTCCATCTCTCTTACTTTCTAATCAGGAATTAACATTGGAATAATAATTGATTATAGAGATAGACTAAAGAAATTACATCAATATGACGATATGAATTACATAATTGAAAATTTATTAAACTCATAATTCCACATCGCAACTATAGTTAATTTGATTGTGAATACTTTGGTACTTATGATGGTCTCTAAATTGCTTATTTATCATATTTGGCTTAAATACAATGGACTAACTACTTACCAACATCTTGTAATGAAGAGAGATAAATTGGAAATCACACCCAGGAAATCAAAAGTAATTAAGAAAATAGAGAAATAGGATGCTCCAAAATTTGAAGAAGACTTATCTAATGCAAATACTGCTCGGAAGTTATTTTAAGTATATTAAAATTCATTTTTTTACAATTGAGTAGGATAGTGGATCTAATGCTGAAAAAGTCAAGTAAAAAGGATATTCCTGCTTGAGATGGAGCAACGCATCAAATGAACCCAAGATTAAGCCCATGCAAGCATCATTTTAATAGGAAATTGAGAAATATTCTAAATAAAAAATCATTGAATAAGACCAGTAGAATATTGATTAAGAAAAACTATGTGTGATAATAATAGATGATAAGTAGTCTTAAGCCCTAGCCGAGAGATTAGACCTTGTAAGCATAGGAGAATACGAAACAAGAAATTTTGCCAGTAACTAATAAAGAGAAAGTTTGCAGAAATTGAATTAGACCTAGGATAAGAAAACATCTACTCCAAACTACTTACCTTTCATACTTAATAACAAAAATTAAGATTACGTAAAAGAATCTCCAATTCATCACTTTGAAAATCCTTTATACCAAAATGATAGTACAAATTTAAAAGAGAACTAAGAAATGTAAAGCCAAAAAAAACTAAATAACAGGAAAAATAGCTCTAAATTAAAAAGCAGACAAAAGCTCAAGGAAGATTCATACTATTGAACATTTTAGAAATCCCTTGATCATTAAGTTAGCACCAATCATTATGGATCCAATTAGGGCTTTTAAAGCTCTAGACATGATCTTAAATTAGATATTGGAAATGTGGGTGGAGCTGTGAATGGTCCAGTGTTTGATAATTAGATTCAGACCGAAGATTACCGAGATGGAATTAATCGAAGTAAGTTGAGGTTTTATACTAAAGATGTAACTTATAATGATAGCGAATTCGATCACTTTGAAGATGAAATTAATAAAGAAAGAAAAAGATTTAATCCAAAAAAGAATATTGACTGATTGGTTCTTATCCTAGATAACTTCTTATCTAATATTAAATTAAGTTTTTTTCTTATAAATTTTCAACAATAATCAGTTCTTAGGGGTTTTGGGGTTTTGGGGTTTTGGGG